GGTCGGACGCAGTCGCAGATATCCGAAACCTTACCGCGTTGCGACGAATTAGAATGTCTCGTGTCATCGGGCGGCGAGCTGGGTCTTTACCGTAGGAGCGTGTCCTCAAAATTCTAGGACGTTCCATTCTCGGCTCAGTACTCGTTCTCGATTATTATAATTCACACGAGTGAGCGCGAACTCGCGCGGCGTAACTTCAATTAAACGCGATAATCTTCAATTAAATGGCACAGCGCGATATCCTTAAAATCTATCTAATAAAATTAAGAGTCGTCGTGTTTAATTACGTCCCGATGAATATTACATGAATGCCAACTCTGTTTGCACGATTTTATAACCGTCGACGCGGGCGGGATAAAGAATCACTGTTAAATAAATACACCGTTACCCCCGACCGTTAATTTTATATCACTGGATAATTATTATCAGTCGATGAATGAACACGCTCGCCATTTACATTATTCTATAACCGTTAATCTCACGTCACTGTGTGTTGTCTCGTTTAACTGATCCCATCTTACGTACACGAATGCGTATATTCTTCGCGCGACTAATATAAAAATTTGCAAGTGTCGAGTTCTTAATATAGATACACGTATCTTCAAACATTCGCACTGCCACTATGTAGAATTTGGAGCGAGTAAAAATCTCTTGAGTATTATCGAGAACTTTGTTGATCTTGGTCGCACGAGTGACATCAAAAGTGCGCACAATTGGAAGTTTCGCTCGCAGATACAAAGCGCGAAGAGGAGGGAGGAAACGAGGTGCGCGATAACGGAGCTTTTAAAAGATGCCCTCCTTTTCCTCGAGGAATACTCCACGGCTTTATCGGCAACATTATGCAAGTCCGCACGTTGCGGCCGATCGCGCAAAATGCCAAGCGCGATCTCTTTCCCTCTTCTCTATCTCTCGGAGGAGCGCATCACTGCACAAGTTTCTTATCGTGCGACCGGTATCCATGCGTAACGTTCTTTTTCTCTTTCTTTCTCTTTCGGCGCTACTTAATACCTTACATTACGTCTAAGATCGTTCGGGAGCGGCGAAAAGTTTATCGATAATTTAACGCACCGGCGCGGCGTGGTCTATTACAGCAGTGGGGTGTTAAGTAGCCGAGAGCGCCTGTACGCAGCCGCGGTAACGAGACACCCAAGTTATCGGCGCGCGTTGCACCTCCCGTAACGCGCGAGAGATTTCAAAAACGATCGAGGAGGGATATCGCGAGAGTCGTTAACTGTCGCATACGTCTATCTTCGGTTGAATGTGTTAAAAGGAAATACGCGTTGCCGATAATTGCCGATTCCCTAAATACCATCTCTAATTCCCGCGTCTTAAGATGCCATCCGACTGTTATTCTTGTGAGAATTTAATTAGCGGCGCATACATACACTCTCGATGATGTTCGGATTACGGGCACGTCTTTGTGAGATACGGAGAACGTTTACGCTCGACGAAATCAAACTTGGGGAGCGAATTAGAGCCGGAAAAAAATACGAAGAAGATACACACGCAGGCACGCACCCGTGGGTATATAATAATAAAAAAAGTAAATGATTATATCTCGTCGACGATACCGAGCCGATACCGAAGTCCAATTAATTTCCTCCTTGCCGCACAGTAATCCCCACGTATATGCAATAACGTCTTCCGCAATATTCATCAGGCTGACCGGTAATCCCGTGGCGTTATTTTCTTCCCTGTTATCCGTGACCCGCGAAAAATCCCGCCCGTTATTAGCGATAGAGAGAGAGAGAGAGAGAAAGAGGGGGGAGAGCAGAGAAGGCGTGAGCAGGAGAGTCAGGTTAGGGGGTGGGAAGAAAGGGAGCCACAAAGAATAGAGGCGGCCGCTTGATAGCGAGGCAACGGATACTTAAGCGTCTACGAGGGAGGGGCCCGTCGTCGTCGTCGTCGTCGCAGGATACGCAGGAGAGCCGATGAGAGGTTAGCACCTGACTTTAGTATTGCAAGATTTAACGAAAATTCTATTTGTATCCGCGATAGTACTAGAGTCATTAAACAGTACAGTCACAGTCAGATTAAAAAATCACTTAAAAATAGTTAAAGATCTCTTCTCTCTCAAGTCGAAATTTTGATGCTATTCTGACGTTCTTAAGGATAGTTTGCGACTACTTAAGACTGCCTATAAGGTTAGTAGAAACCTACTTTGACGATACTAACACTTTTTAACTTCTCTCTTGAACCTTTAATTCTACAAATTAAATTTTAATGCTACCTTCAAAGCAACCTATTTTAACGCTAAAATAGCGAAAACGGAAATTTAAGACATCATCAGAATCAAAATAGGAATTATGTTACATTACTAGAATTGAAATTTTGTTATCATAGCTCCCTAATATGTGTAGAATTAAAGGTTTAATATAGGACCAAAATATATCGGGAACTATAAAATTCTCCTCAAACTATAAGATCTCAAAAATAGCCAAATAAAGTAACTTTTTCTCGAAGATTGAAGTGCCATGATATTTTCAAAGTATCATTTGCTTAGTTAATTCGACGAAGAGAACCATTGCTATAAACTTTGTCAATAATTCGAGAACTATTTCAGGCACGAGAAGAACTTGCTTTAAATTTTGCGGCGATGAAAAATGAGATGCGAACTTCACGCCGGTTGTGCATATGTCTATCCCAGGTAGACGAGGAGGACCCAGTGGAAGGGTAGGGAGAGACAGAAGTGGGGAGGGTTCGGCGGAAACTGCGGAACGCCGAGCGAGGAGGATGCGAAAGGTGCCTCGAAAAAGGAGCAGTCGACTTGTGCGGGGCCGCGTGCGTTCTCATTCTCTCTCTCTCTGTCTCTCTCGTTTTCAAAGGACGCCTACTCTTCTTAAACCTAAATATAACGGCCAGTCAAGTGCAATTCCTTTCTTCGATCGTTCCCCGCGCCATATTGGGCTGTTGCACCGCGCACGCACTGGCATACGCACGCACGCACGCACTCACTCACTCACTCACTCACGCACGCACGTGGAATCGCGACACACCGCCAGGTCGGCGGCGCGTTGTCGAGGCGACACCCTATATACCTGGATGATGTCGAAAGTGAAAGTATCGGAAGCGAGGTATCGATACCCCGAGATACTGTTCACGTTAGCCAGGTGTATGGAGTGTCCTGGGAGCATTTGCGTCTCGCGACGATCAACTCGTGGAAGAATTTCGCAGAGTCCAGTCTTTCCCCTCTCGCGGGGATGAGTTTCAGAGTCGTAAATATCGCAGTTGAAATGTTTGCAACACTCGACGCCGTCGAATATCTCCTGTGTAGATGTTAAGATAATATATTCTCCAGTAGTAAAGCCCGCTTGGTTTGAAGCGAACGATAAAGATTTCTCGGATTCTTTGTGCTTTAAACGTTATCTTTGATCTACCGCGTCAATTTGTGCAACTTCGTCAAATTTTAGAGAATAATGCGAGAGAAACGGACAAATGCACTGCCCCGAAAGTAACTACCTTCGGAGAGTCTTCTAGAAATTTTAAAGAGTTCAAAAGGTTCTGGAGAGCCAACAAAAACTTCCGACGGTATTCTGTACATCGCATTTTATGGAAAAATTGCATTACCTGAATTTTTCGTAAATAGTATAAAATAGCAGAAATTTATTCATGCCGACTTCATATAAATAAAATGTGCCGAGCAATGCCGAAGTGAAAAATATTCCTCGGATTTTGAATCAGAGTGCAAATAACGCATGCCGTTTTCCAGCTATCTGAATAGCTCGCGTAATTTCTCTCGGTTTATAATAAATGTTACCTTGTTCTTGCTTGAATCGATCTACGGTCAAGCACAACGATTGTGCCATAACCCCGCACACACCGTGATTCTCAAAATCGAGAGAGAGCAACGTCACCGTCGGCATCTCTGATGTAATTGCACTCGTATCACTCTATCGTCGGCACGAATAATTAAAAACATTTCGATAACCGCGACTTAGTCAAAGGGGGCATCATATAAAACGCGAGACCGCCGATTCTTATTTTGATTTGTGTCGTTTGACACTTCACAAAACGAGGAGAAAAATACCAATATCTCTTAATGCCGAAAGTTGTATTCTAAATCATTCTCGAGCGACAGAAGGAACGCCGCTTTCGGAACACTTGAAAACGTGATATATGCAAAAAGACTGTACGTGGCATATTTCTTTCATTAAAGGAGACATATGTGCACAAATCTGCGTGTATGTGCGAATAGCGTCCTCAAGGCAAAGTTTTCTCATATTTCTGATACAGAAATTTTTTATATTGAGCCTTCATTGTGTTTAGAGGTAAAAATTAAAATTAAATCGGTCAATTTGAGAATACCGTAAAATTGCGAAATAATAAGTCCACACGATTGCGTCTGAAAATGACACGTCCAACAAAGGTACAACAAATATTAATTTGCTCGAAATAAGTACATGAATTGTGCAATTTCATTTTTAATTACTCGTATTTTGATTTTATACCCAAAATTCGTTGCAAAAGAAATAATTTTAAATTTTATTTTTGGACTTTTTAAATTTATATTATACGTACATGCCTTTTACCATAAATGAAAATAAAAATGTTTTCAAATAATTTCTGATATCTATATAATAAAAAAATTTGGGTTAAAAACAGTCCGCTGAAATTTTATGTTACTTTAACACGGAAAATATGTTAAGAAGTACATAAAAATATGTGTTAAATTAACATATTCACCTTGTCAATATATATTAATTTAACATAATATTTGTTAACATATTCCCCGTATCAAAAAGAACAGAAAATTTCAGTGGATCGTTTCTAACGAAATTTTGTAGATTCGCGGTCAAGTAGGTAACTTCCCTTGTTATCGTACGAAAGGATTACTGAATTCACATTGTTACAAAATGACCCGTTCGATCTTTCCTCGTTTCTCGAGGTAAGTTTACGCCGTTCTCAGAATGACCGATTGAATTCGAATGGACACCGCGCTGGAGGCTCGCACGCGGTACACGCTATAATCAACGAGCAGGACAAATGGATTCAAGACTCACCCTGCATTTTCAGCGGCAGCAATGGACATGTGCCTCCTCTCATCGAGGGTGGGCGCGGCGTCGAATTGCCGAGGAAGATCCGTGGTAATGAATTGAGAGTCACGCGTACACGAGAGGATGGGCTCTCCTTTCTTCTCCCTTTGCGTCGCACCAACAACTTCTCACCAACACGTCGTCGATCACTCTACCGAGCAACACAGCAAGGTCGCGAATCACCAATCGACGCACAAGTATCACAGAAAATTAACACACGCGAGCGAGCGAACGGCGCGTTTCGTCGTCGCGGTCAAAACGAGGGAAAGATCCAACAATGAACAGTAACGGCAAAATTCCAGTCCGCCTCTCTTCTTCGATCCCGACAAAGATAGCGGAGAACCTCGTATCGTCCTCGCGAAGCGATCAATCGTCGATTAGCCGACGCTCGACGAAGACACGCGGATCAAGGGAGGCTGCTGCATCCTTCTTCCGTCGATTTTCAGCCGCCTTGGCGCTGGTCGACATTCGATACGGCCGCTGCTGCTGTCGAGCGGACGGCGCAGCACGCGTTCGCTCGCTTCTTCTTCCCTCTCTTTGCCTCCTCTCCTTCCTTCTGCGAAGGATGCGCACGCTCGGCAGGTGCAGCAGCGGAGCCCCGCACGAATCGGCCCGATCACGACAGAATTTCAGGCTTCCGCCTGAACGGCCGATAGCGTGATCTCTCTATCGGCGGGACGCTCTTCTTCCCCTGTGTCGAGCCTGCAGCGCGGATGGTCTCTTCCCCCTTTCCTCACGCCCCGGCGAAAGCTCCTCGAAATATCCTTGGAACTTTCTCGCGCCCGCGAAGTTCAACGGTTTCGCGTCGGGTAGGTCGCGATCACGATAAGCGGGTCGATCCTGGAAACGATAACGGTGAACGTGAACGTGAGAGTGACGATCGTCGAGCGCGGTAGGAAGGAGGGCGGAAGGGGGAGGGGAAGAGAAGGCAGGGAGGGAGAGGGAATTGCGTTGTAAAACGCGATACGTAACGCGTTAACGAGTGGGACGAGTAAAAAGAATTGCGCGGCGCGCGGTTACGTCGAACGTTACGTTCGAGGAGGCGTTTGCATACGGTGACGAGTTCGTAACGCGCGCGCGTCGTTTCTAGCGGTCCGCACGCGTGAGGTAATCGAATCATTAGCGAACAAATGCTCACTGACGCTCCCGTTGAAGCGGTAAAAGGAAGGAAAAAAGGAGAAAAAGCTCCCGAGCAGATTCCCCGACATCTTGCGTGTAAGCGCAGCCTTTACTTAAATAACTGTCATTATCGACATTGTTATTCGTATCTGTTGCTCAACTCGGCCATTGTTAACGCACGCTCTATTATCGCAATTATTATTATTTCACTTGTGAGTCGGATACATTGAATCGTATTTCGCATTAAAGTTGTAACAAAAATGAGTTTTTTAAGAATTTCTTGAAACTTGCACCATATATATATATAGATAAATTTCTATTATATGTGCACCTTTATTAGGTGCACAACTGACATATAAAGCATTAGTGAGAAAAATAAAAAAATAAATAATACCTCCGTGTTAATTTCACTCATATATTATTTAGATGATTAAATAAAATTATGGGAAAGTATTTTTTCAATAAATAATAAACTTACATAAGGGCCCCTTGATATATCACCATTGAAAATTCGACATTTTACGATATAACTATCTTAAAGCAATCACTTGAATGATAAGAAATTGTCGCGAGAAATTAATTCTGTAACGTTTGAGAATGTCATCGTTCCAATATTATTATGACTCTCCCGTAGCGACCGCGAAAAAAAAAGGGAACGAACGTAATCTTCGCGCTACTGTCGGAACAATGTTACCATTGTCGTCTGTCTTACGAGATAACGCGACTCGTGATTATTTCATGCAGGATTGTATTGTTCCAGAAACATAGTTCGGTTCGCAGGAAAACCGCTCGGACAGCAAGCATCATATCGTTAATAATTCCGACACACATTTTCATATCATTAACGCACGTACTTCCGAAGAGAGATAAAAATTTCGTCCGACGTTTAGCTTGTGTGTTGTGTGCGACCGACGTTTCTCTTTCTTTTCCTTTTTCGGAAATTTATGGACCCGGCCACTCGTCATTATTCTCCGAACGCTACGTGGAACGAAATCGCGAATGCCTTTCGCAAAGCCGCGCGCGCGCTCATGTTTTTTTTCCCTCTTTTCGGCGCAAAGCAAGCGAGAAGGTTAAACGCATCCGCAACTAATGGCAGCTTTCGAAATCGCCTCCTCGCAACAACTGTCGTCTCTACGGTGTAACCTCGCGCATCACATGGCGTCGCGCTTGACGAGACTGCCATTAATACAATAGACCGTGCATGCCGCGCATGTCCACACGGCCCATTCTGCTTCCGAAACATATGTAGACCGTGGGCGCGTTTAGGAAAACCTCGAGATCGATATCGTCGGCCGACGACGGCGACGACATTTCGCCGCGAATCCACGCCACGATTTATCGAATCTATACGAGGTGTCCGATCTGAATTTCAATGACAGGGACTCTACGATCAATTCGATCTTTCGTTAACTAGAGCTCTCACCGAGAGCTACCGAGCGACCGAATAGGAACGAAGAATTTATTTTTACGCACCGAAACCTCGTGTTCACAGTTAAATTTGCATAGACGCGATTTTTTTGGAGAATCCTGATTCCAAGTTCAATCAGCAGAACGCGCGCGCAATGTCGGATATCGAACGACTGCGGCGTCTCGAAATTCTTTAATTCGTCATGGAGCTTGTTACCGAGCTCAAATTGGATCGTCAATAAATTAACCCCGGAGCAGGCGCGTGGGTGACACGTGTCAGTCGGCCTTCTTTTTCTCTAACGATGAAATTCGCGATTCAAGCGGTCTTCCGCGACAACTAACGTCGCGACGTTACGATCGACGTGCGTTACGAGAATAGAACAGGCCAGAAATCGATCTAAGAAAATTTCATCGCTCCGACAAAAATATGACGGCGCACGTGTTGCGCCAGCCCACACGTATTACAGCTTCTCCGGACGCGAGACGATTCGAGGACCGATCGAGGTTTTTCCGCGTCGTTAAAAGTTAAGTACTCCAATGCTCGGACATGTATTCAAACTTGTACATTCTCATTATTTTTTAAGTCTTTAAATATGAATATTTACATTTTCAGCATAAAATATATACGTGTATTAAATGTTTGTTACATATATTTATAATCGAAAATCTTGATATTTTCGTAGATAAAAACTAAAACAATAAGAATATCCAGGTTTAGGCATTGGTATTTTTTTACTGTAAAGTCAAGTGTTCATCGACATGTACTGACCAAAGTTTTTTCCTCAAAAGACGCATCAATCTTCTGAAATTATATAATATATTTAACACGTTCACGTTACCAACATCATACACGTGTGTGAATTATTCCATTCGCCTATTCAATATATTTTTTATGTATGCATAAGTGCAACATTATGCGCTATATTATTAAATGTATAAGCTACTAAAACCTATAGCATGAGCTATGGTAAGCGATTTTCAATTTGAGTGCGGTAGCGAATGTTAAGACGCGAAAGGATATTTCTTCTCAAAATGCCAACGTGACGCGCAGAAACCACTTTTCCCGATCAACCACCCGCGATATTCAGGTGAGTCACTCGTGCAATGATTACAAACCACGACTGCGGCGATCGTGATTGCGAATCGAGAGTCCGAATCACGCGCGCGACGGACACACGGTCACACAGCGTGAATTTAGAGGTCGCGCAACCCGATTGGTCCGTGTTTTTCGGCTTCGCGCGTACTTGAACGCCTCGCCAACGTCGAATTACGCGTCAAACGCGTCCCGAGCGATCGTAATTAATTCGGACATCACGTGCGAGCGCGCTGTGCACCTAAAGGAGCCGCGCTGCATCGGATCATTTTTCAGATCAAAAAATGAACTCAACGCTCGCCTCTTCACGCCTGCGTCACACGAAAAGCACGCCCGAATCGGAATTTTGATTTCACGTTAACCTTTGAACCCCGGGACATTCGTCTGTCAAGCAGATGGTTTCCATTTTTGCCTATATTTCCGATGCTGATGAAATGAAAATATTAAAAAACCATTTATATTTTATTCTCTTCCTCGAAATAATTAAACTGCAAAAATAAATATTGCATTAAAACTATGGCATTACCCCTTTGTGGGATTCGTACATCACTTGAACAACGGTAAAAATTTGAATTGACTGTAAAATTTGATTGAATTAAGGACAAGATCTACAATTTCCATTTAAGGAAATAGGTGATAAGGAGAGTCTATACTTGTATGCGCAGTAGTCTTCAATTTGCTGCGAAATTGCGAGCACATAAAGTCACGAATGTTCTCAACATGATTCACGAAATCACACGTTAGCGAAAAGTAATATCACAGATTTCCTTCTTCTGTAAGTATGAGGATTTTTCCTCATAATATAACGTCTTTATGTGTCGATTAAAATCGGAAACTTTGATATAATAAATGAATTTACATCGAGGAAATATATGATTCCGTTCTAGATCCAGCATCCGGACTCTTGACTGTTTCGTCGGATGTTCACTCGTGACACTGACATTGGCACTGACACTCGGCATAGAGATACGATTCGATCGGAGAAACGCGTGTTAATTAACGCGCTGCCAACGAGAGCCCGGTTAGCTATATCGAGACTCGACGGAATATTCCAATCAGCCGACGGGAATAATAACTAACATCGTGAAAGCACTCGAAAAAGTACACGACTCACGAAGCTATAACTCTGACCGCCTTGAAGGCCCGGAAAGTTTTGACTGTTGTCATCTCGCGACCGTTTAATAGCATGCGACGACGGTTGACGATTGCCGAAAGGTGACGTGGCCCTTTTTGCACATTGTTTCTCGCACGTCGCATACTTTTTCGTAACCGAGCCGTTACATTTCGAGTCGACGAACATATCGCGTAGCGGAGTACATCATCATTTTTCTTGCGTTAGTTATCATTTTCCTGTCGACTCTTAAAATATTTAATCCAGCTCTCATTAGCATTGTGTTTATCAATGAACGCACGTTTTTCAGATCGAATTGCATCTACGCGAGTGTCAATGCCATATGGAGTGCTACGACAGAGCAGCCGGAAATAATGTCGGGACACGGGCAACGATACATCATATATTTCCAAGTGTATAAAATTATTTATTTTATACGGATTTATTTTACACATAAATTTGCACATTGTTACCAATCATTATATACATTGAAGAAAGATTTGGTAACAACTACCAAAATTTAGTTAGTTTCAACTAAATTGGTTACTGCAAGCAAATTATTTAATATATTACACTGTAGGATTGTATACATTATGTAATACGAAATGATTTGGTTGCAGTAACCAAACAATTTAGTTGAAACTAACTAAATTTTAGTAATTGTTACTAAATCCTCTATTCAGTATACATTACCATTTTCTTGAATTGCAAATAATTACTATACATAAGAGATACACGCGAAGTTAAATCTCAGCCTTATCTTTGCTTAATTATGATAAGTGAACTGTGCAAATTGTACAACTGATGCTTTTTTTTATTCCAAACCGTGCAATATTTGGAGGAATGCAGTTGCCATCGAAATAACAATCTAAGCGTATGTCGTGTCGAAATGTATTTCTGCCGTAGTTGAATGAACGATCGAGTGGAAATTGAAATAAGTTACGATCGATCGATTCGGCGATGATCTTTTTTTCACCCGAGACCGCTAGAGGCTCTTGCCGGGAATGCTTCCTCGCGAACGTTATTTTTATAGTGACGCGAAATTGAGATAACGTCCTATAAAATCGTTTCCAATTATTGAAAAGACCGATAAGAAATGAGAGGGAGAGGGTGGAGAACGCGCGCTTGCTCGTGTCGACCTAGGTCGTAACGTTTACGACACGTCAGCATTGCGAGATTACCATTTGAAGTGCGGGGTCGTTTAAGTAGCACCGTTGCCCTTTGCATCACGTAATTTAAAGAGCTTTAGAAAAAACAATCCTCAACTTGGTCGTTACATACAAAAACGAAGATTAAAATGGTGCGAATTAATGAAATTGCAATTTTATCGATTCCCTCAAATTGAAGCAAATGTCGCATAGCGGTCTAAAATTCAAGAAGCAGCGATAAAACCTCATTTTCAAACTCCTTTAATTAGAGATATTTGACTTCAACTTTCAAGGAATGCCTGGTAAGTCATACATATAGCTCGCAAATCATTCAACGCATTCAAATTTTATCGAAGTAATCATGTATCATCAATATGTAACTGTTACTTTTGCGCGTTGAAAATCAACATTAATATCTTGCGTTACAGATTTTACTATAAAAATCAAATCAGATTTTTATAATCAACGACTTTATTCGATAAGAATTGTTACGATGAGAAACTGCTTAAGTTTTCAATTCAGCACATGTTTCATTTTGAATTCCACGACATCTCAATCTGATCTTTCATTCGGAATATTCCATAAAGTATCCTTTATTAAGAAATAAAAACTTGAATCGCCACTTTCTGTCTATTTAATTACTACATGCATCTCTTTTTATCTGAGACCACGGTGTTGTGATAAATCATAATGTATTGTGACACATCATACGGAGAAAAAATAAAGAATAAAGTTTGTTTTCGTTTAAAAACAATTTTATCGTGTTTCTAAAACTTAAAAAATTAAAATCCGAGAAATCGAAATTATTCTCGAATTTTTATCATTCCAGACCATTGTACGTCCTTTCTCTTTCGTCTTCTAGTTCGATGTCAAATACAAATATGTAAAATCCTGATTTTCTCAATTTGCACCTTTTAACATTACTTCGAAACAAATACATTATACACGTACATGCATCGCTGAAATTTTTCCACAACACCTTCGATAACGCACGCCAGCCGAGACTACGAATATTAATATTCCCTCGGAACTCCCGAAAGGAACCAAGCCAATTTCAGCATCCACGGTATCCCGCGAGAAAAGAAAACAACGACGACGTTTCGTGACGAAGGAAGGAAGCAAAAAAGGGGAAACACAACGGGAGGTTTCGCGATGGTTCTCGAACACCCCGTATGAACAGTGTGTCTCGAAACACACTCGTCAGAATATCGGACGACGGAGCCTATATTTTGCGGGGCCGCATACAACGCGAGTTACATTGTAACTCTCTTTCCACGAATAGACTTAAGACCGCGCGTGCGATCGCGTGACATGCCCTTAGGGGCGACGTTCTCCCGAGCTCATTAGGCCGAGAAAAAGTTTAGCGCGCGAAATTAGGCGGACCGCGGATTCGCAGAATGTGCCACCATTGTCCAATTTTTATCCTCCATTATCGTGATTCGGTCCCCGGGGGCCGATAGCGACGGTGAGATGTTTGTTCCTCTCGGAATGTATTAGCCGCGGCCATAAATCATCGGCTATTGCGGTTACCCCGAGGTAACGAACGCGTGCGAGCGAACGAACGGATGGAAGAATCGAAAAAACGTGATTAAAAGGAGGTTTCGAGAAAAAGGTGCGTGAAACGTTTCCAGACAAAAAAGAAAGAAAGAGAAACGATAAAGTACAATGCGCGCGACTCGAAACAGTTACTTCGGTGTCACCCGTTATCCATTGAAACGCGAGAAACCACGGTGAATCTTTTCCTTTCAACCGGCCGCGCTCGCAGTCTTCACACTCGCCGCGCCGCGAACAAAACACGCTTATAACTCGAACACCTCGGCAAGAGGGGGAGGACTGTCGAAGTGGGATCGCGAAAAGAACAGAAATCACACGTACCTTTGCCGATGACGCGTCCCTCGTGTCACACACGCGGAGCAGGCGAGTTGGCAGGTAGAAAGCCCGTGCGGCGACGGACGCACAATCGAAAGCGCGATGGAGAGCGCGCCACGGACGCGCGCACAGCGAAGCGCGACGAACTTGACTCTCAGAGCAGCGGACCGTCCGACGAGCGAATAAAAACGGAACGTAGAAACCCGGCCGCTGCTTTCTTGCGACGCTGCGCGGGATCCGGCGCGCCGCCGTGCATTATAAAGCGCGGGTTATTATTCGCGCACTCCGCGCGGCCACGGAAACGACGACGACAACGTCGTGTAGTAGCGCACACACACACATACACACACACTGCGACGTACACGTATATCCGACCGACTTATCCGCGGCTGGACGACGACGGCGATTCCATCCTCTCGCGCCGCCGTCGAGAGAGTTTGAGGTCGAGGTTACCCGTCCGTCTTTCTCTCGTGCGCGCGGATACAGTCCGTTGTCTCGAACGCTCGCTGCTGCGGAGAACGTTCCTCAGGGACGAACGGACGGCGGAAACGACGCGCGCATTCGTTTAGAGCGGCTACCCAGCTGCGAGGGTTCGCCTCGTGGAGAGAGAGATGCGTCTGTTTCTCCTTCTATCCTCGCTCTTTCCGCAGAAAAACACAGTGGGGCGCCACGGGACGCAGGTACCGTTCCTCGTCTGCGCCTCTTATCTCCTTTACGCCGCTTCGCACGTGTGTCGAAAACGCGTGTGCGCACCGTCCCTGCGCGACACAACAAACAACGAGGCGCCGAGCCTTCCAGAAGGATCTATCTCGTCGCGGAGTGTCTCGCCGCTCTTCTCATCCTCCTCGCGAACGCTGGACAAGTACGTCGCGGCGGAACGTCTCCTCGGCGAGAGCGCATATACGTGTGTCTCGCTCTCCTCTTATCTATCGCGCGCTCTTTCTTACCAGCGTTTCTATCCGTCTCCCTTTATCTTTGCCGCGAGCGAATGTGCGAATTCTTACTCCCTCTCTCTTTCTCGTATGATACGGGCGAGTGTGTACAGCGCGCCGCGGAGAGAGACGAAGAAGGAGATAGAGAGACGGACCGAGCGGCGGCGGCGACGACAACGCGACGACGACGGCGGCGGCGGACGGAGAGCGCGCGCGCGCGCGCTGTCCGCTCAGGTCCGCGTTTGTGTTCTCGCGCGCGCGCGTCTCTGTGCACTTCTCGATTAGCGACCCGACGTGCGTGACGTCACAGCGCGACGTTACATCGCTTCTCGCGATTGTCACTGGAGATCGGCCGGCGATCGAGCGGTAGCAGCGCGCGACGCGACGCAAAACCGAAGGAACGGGCGTGGACGAACCGCCGAAGAGACCCGTCGCGGCGAAGGAGAGAGCTATCTCTCGATAAGACCGCGGATCACCACACGACGAAGCCGTTTCGAAACGGCTTTACTGCGCGACCGCACGGCGACCACCACCACACACTGGCACGCGCAAACCCACCCGCGGTTGTTACCACTCGTGAAACTACTGACGACTCTCCGTCGTGCAACGACTGGCGCGGCGAACCGAACGGAGAACGACGGGAGGTGGTCGCGCCGATAGGTGGCAGCGCTGCTTATCGCGACTGGGGCTCCGGCGGCCGACGCCGCCGTGCGCCGCGTACCGCAACTCATCGAGCACCGCCGGAGACGGCCGAGCGCGGCTGAAACGTCGCGAGCGCAACCGATTCAATATCAAGTGCACGACCCTCCGCGGACCGACGGACGGAATGACGGCCGCGTGAAGTTTAACGAGAGAGGAAGGGGGGCGAGCGAACGTCGTCGACGCGGCGGGAAAGACCGATGCATTTTCGGAGAGTTCAATTTGCTCGTCGTTTCGGCAAATCCGAGGAATGTTTCATTTATTCTGGGGAAAAGGGGAGAGTTTCGGCAATCTCACGAGCGCGCCGTAATTTCTGGCGAATCTTCAAAGATTCACGACTCCTTCGCCAGTTTTGTATTAGCGCCGCTGTTGCGAAAAGTTGGTCGTTTCTCCTTCTGTTTACCAAGCAGCGAGTGACGTCAAATAACGTTAGAGACGTTACTAAGACGTCATATACATATGACGTTACCTTTGATTGACGCTTGACTATTGACGCTTTTATCGAGTTCAGCATTGATTGTTTTCTTAAAAGATGGGAAAAGTAAAAGAGTATATAGCCAGTCGTAAAAACGTTGCAGCACTTTTTTTATAAGTTTCAGAACCCGTATCCGATAAGAAAATTTGTTTTTAATAATTCTGAGGAAATAATACATTTTCTTACTGCATATGCGTTGTGAAATTCGAAAAATAATCGAGAAAAATGTTACAATCTTTTTGTGACTGATCATATGTGTTGTCATTTCTATAGAAAGTTTAAATTGTCCGAATGGAATCTTCAACTAAAGTTCGAGAAAAAAATGTATTAATTCTCTCTCTCTCTTTCTCTCTCTCTTTCTAAGAATCATCTTTCGTATATTTCTTATATATTTCATTAATACATGTATTTCTCTATTCTAAGCCATTTGTGTTCCAAATATATTCTTTATTCTGTATGTATTCTTAATCTCATGAAGCATTATTTCTTAATCTTCTTAATACATCAGAGATAAATAATTGCTGAGAACAGAATGCTTGAGCAGTCGCGAGTCAATAAAAAAAAAGAGTGGAAGAAACAATTGCTTGAAAGGATCGAAAAGCAACGAACCGAAACAAGTGAAATCTTACTCATTACCGTTATTAAAATACCCAATAACATATGTAACGCAAATGGCTATCGAGACCGTTATTAACTGTTGAAAATATAAACCGAAGAAATTTGTCGAACGCATATAGTGAATGGGCGAGAAGTGAAAATGTTTCAAATTCGAAGATTCAGACTGTTCACGAATTCACGCTAAAGGAAAAGATTCATGATCAATTACAAGGGATTAAGTGTGATCGTCTAAACGAGGAGGAGAGGGTATTCACAGATCTTGACATGATTACATAACGTTTAGAAAAATGAAAGAAAAGGAAAGCGCTCATGTCGAGTACTTCTTGATGAGCGGCAACAGCTCCGTGCACTTCTGCTTGGCCAATACCTCCGCGCTGAATCCCGCGTTGTCGACGATGGTCAGATCGGTGTGCGGTATCAGCAGCCTGCAGACGTCCGGCGCGCACGCGATGATCGCCCGGTGCAGAGCCGTATTACCGTCCAGGTCCACGAGATTCGCGTCCGCACCGTGGTTCAGCAGCAGCTCAACGATGTCGAGGCGGCCGCGCGTGGCCGCGCGATGCAGCGCGGTCGCGCGGCCGCACCGGGTGCACGCGTCCACCTCCGCGCCGTGGCGCAGCAACGTTTCGCATATCCGCCTGTTTGCGTTCCGTGCGGCGTAATGTAGCGGCCGGTAGCCGGCGGAGTCCTCGTTGTTCACGGGCGCACCGTTCCGCAGCAGTGTCTCTACGCGCTCGTAGTCGTCATCCAGCGCTGAAAACGCATCGAAACGCTGTTAAGTCCTACGTCCTTGTCAATCATTATTTTTATTTATTGTCAAGCACATCGATATAAAAAGACACGAAAGAAATAGGCGTGTAAAACGCAATCGCGCGCAAAAAAAAGCGACCGAGTTTCCGGGTTAAATCCGCGACTTGCATCGCCTGATCGATTTCCTTCAAGTGACGCAAACGAGCCCAGGCCTTATCGGAGAATTGATGCAATTGGACAGTGCAAATATAGCGTCTTGTTTCTAGAGTAATTAGAAGTCGATGTTTCTCCGACGAAGTGCATCAAGGGAGCGCGCATCGCTTTGCATAATTCTCGTGTTATCGCGGCAATCGAATCGCCGATTACGTTCAACCACGAGTAGTCCCCGAAACTGTACGTTCACGTCGATCGTTGGATATGCACTCTCTACACATTATTCAGGCTAAATCTACGTTACGCGAACGACGGTTTTCAGTTTTATTTACCTGCATACCAGATACTACGTTCGAACTCCATCTCGTCTAATGTCTGTCGAACGCTGGGATTGCTGTCCGCTAAGCAACACGCGTCGTGAGCATGATCTCCGTGAGAGTGCGTCATTATTTATCGTATCTGTAAATAATCGTTCTTAGGGTGCTGTCTCATGGACAAGAAAGAAGCAAAACGGAAAAGATGTAGCGGGGAAATGACCAATCGGAATTATATTAATCCGTTTCGATCTCAAATGACTATTTTCCCCATGGAGCCTTTCCTTTTATGAATTCCTTATAACTGCACTCAAGTTGTATAAATCTTTACAACTTATTGTAGTTATATATCTTCCTTATAAGATCGATTATTTTTATTGACTGTAATCGAGGAACTTTGATTTCTCATTTTTCCTGTGCATAGAGAACATTTGAACGGATTAATATAATTCCGATTGGTCACTCCCCCGCTGCATCTTTTACGTTCGGATTTTTCGTTGTCTATGGGACGGCACAAAGTCCCTTATAAGAAAAGACTACCCGAGCACTAAAGATAGAGAGATGATGATTACTGATGCGTAAAAACATTATATGTGAAGCGCACTTTTTCTTTCCAATATTTATTTTTCCTCGACATTATTACATATGATAATAATAATGTAATCGGTTGTACAACATTCAGTTAAACATTACGCACACTACGTCGACTATTGTAGTTACAAAATAGTATACAACATGCTTCTTTCTCGTGTAATTATCCAATTTATGTAAATATAAAGCCCGCCACGCATCAAACTTAACGAACGGGCAAAAGTTGCATACCAATGATTAGACTTATTAAACTAGAGTTAACTAGAAATACTCTTTCGTTGCGTCACCAAACATATCTTTCGACTTCGCTTACAATCGTACGCGCTGACGCATAATCGCTGCACTACAAGTAATTGCTCTTAATTGTAATTTCATTATCATCATCGCCTTTCGGCCGGTGTAAGAAAAATCGATCGTAATAACATCTCTTCCAAATTACACCGAGAGTTGCGATAATAATAATACGTTGATACAAATAGGAGTGAACATCGACACAAAAAACACCATATCAAATAACAGTTTTACATTTAAACTCTCTGGACCTCCACCCGGAGAAATATCTCGCACAATAATAGCACGATAACAGCGTGATAAATACTATAGACTGCCCATAGAAGTGGTATAAACTACGTATTGTTACATGAGGCCACTGTATAACTGGTGCTTGCGTGTACAAAGATAAACTGTCGTTCGCTGCAAAAGATAACACGAATCGGGGTGATTTGATTCTCGGATCAGTTTGGAGAATCAAGAAATGCAGTCGGAAATCAACCTGAAACCGTCTCGGAGCAAATTTCCGACCAGATCGTGTCGAGTGATATCTGCAAAATCACACACGCGACGATATAAAGATATCACAAATTATTGTATAATTGGCGTCCGCGCGTTATACCGCGCGTTCGCTCCGACAAGTTTTCCGTATCGTAAAAAGGTAAATTAACGTTCGCAACGCGATTATTTTGCACGGTGCGGAGGTGTTTGCGCGGTTCAATCTCCGGAATTACAACCGGCAGTCTTATCGTGATTATACAATTTTTAGCGTCCAAGTAAGAGGAAATTCCGCAACGGAACTGCACAAAAGTGTCGTGATAAAAAGAAACGTTCGCGCGATTGTTTACAGCCAGGTGTAACGCCAAGGTTTACCAGCGAAAGAAAAGAAAGCTGCATAAAAACGTACCGTTCAGTTTTTACGAGAGAGGTACGCACGATCGATTATCAAGAAAGAAGAGAGAAAACAATTGTCTAACAATTGGTCCACACGTATATGCATGTTATCGTGAAAACGACCACAATTTTGTCGTAAAATCGGTTGCGAACGTGATTCGAAGTTAAGACCAAACGAAATAGTAATGACTACGGCGTCATGGGTGAATGTTGATTTGTCGCTCCTAATTGCTACTATTCGATGTGTCAAGATACACATTAAAGTCACGGCACGAGTGCGCTTAAAGATATACACAATACGCAGGTGGTAAAGGCCATTCTTATAGGTATTAACTTTCTCGCTGCAACGTCCAAAGTATCTCGCCCTCGCCGGTACTACAAACAACCCGATAGCCGAGCTCAGCCAGAGCGTTTATCACGGAGAACGGTGGTCCTGAAAGCAATTTTGCAACGTATAAGTCCTCCACGAAGACGCCATACAGACGGATTAACGGCGTTGTTGGTAATCGTAACCGGCCGCCTCTCTGCTTCGTATTATTCTCTAGAAATAATCGCACCGACATCCCCGGGAGATGGGGGGGGGAGGGATATCTCCTCGAGGTCTCGTCCGGTCCGATCATGCAACGCCTCGCCAAAGATAATTCGAGAAATGATTATTAACCTTTGACCAGAACTCCGTTCACGACATCCGAGCTTTCGGGCGTCAGCGGAAAATGGCTGCGTAAGGCTGACTGCTCGTACGACGACAGACCGAACACCGCGCAATCGCTCGCGTACGGGGACGCTTTTACACCGACGTAATAGAAAATGTCGTCGTCGTCGTCGACGACGTCCAGCTTTTTGGACGTGACGTTGGTCGTTGCCTTTGTCTTTGCCATTGCCGCGCTAAAAGTATCGTTATACCTCGTTGCGTTTTACTTCTAAAAAAAAGCAGACGTAACGTATGTGAGTGATGTGCCGCGATCGGGCCGCTTGTCTTGAGAGTGGTGTGAGTCAATTTCGCGGCGATCATCGAAATTCCCGGAAAGTTTGGCGCATGCTCGCGAGATACCTTCAACGTGGCGTGCGAGGTATTCCTCGACCCGCCGTTCATCGGATGTATGCGACATTCAGCTGGAATAAAATCTACCCCATCGACCATTGATCTTTCGTTATTAGAGCGGACGTAAAGACGCGGACGGATTTCATTCAGTCGTCAAGATTCATTTACTCGTCAAAATACATGCGCAATTTGAAAATCCTCGCTCTTCGACGAAGAATAAAAATAACGGAAGAATAAAAAGTTGTTCATCGAGCAGAGTAAAGTTTGCAGAACGTTTTATCAGGCTCTCCGTAATTTCAAGTACTTTTCTTTTTTTTTTTTTTTTACCACGGTGTGTACAAAATTATCCTGGCTGTGTAAATTTAATGTTTTCACAACGTCAGATATCTATCTTGAGATTTTTTGCAAGAGACTTGATTAAAGCCACTTTCAAGACAAATGGCGTATTTCTTCCCAGCGGTTGAAACATCGTTGAAGCTGATGCAAGCTGATGCGATGTATTGTATGTTGCTATTAGAAAACAATTAAGAAGCAATGATGGTGGGAGGTATTGTTTCGTTCTGCTTTATCGGGGGAGAAAATATTTCAAGTGAAAAAGGAATCTACAGAATTTACAGCAACTAGCTACAGTTACAGCTTCCTCAGTTACTTCTTCCTCTACCAATTTGTTGTTGCGATTAATACTGTTTTAAATATCATAGATATTTTGTCGTTATTACTAACAATTCATTCATCTGAATCTTTCTTTCTATTGTGATTAGTACACACATACACAAGCACATGTAATTTATGTGTGAATGATAACATTAAGATTACGAGCTTTCAATAAACTCACGTATTTTCTGATGATGTACGAAATTTGGAATGACGAAATATTGTTACTAAAAGGCAAAATACTTGCAACATTCGGAAATAACCTCTGGTACATGTTTGTAATATACAAACAGATTATGAAATACCTAATTAGAAATCGCTAACAATTAGCAAATATGTGGCTTGATGCTCGTGCTCTCTTTCTCACACATTAATTCAAACGTGCAATAACAAAATTATTCTAAGATGTGAACCTCTGACATGAAAGAATATGTAAGTTCATCGGCATAATTCCCCAAAAATCGCCAAAATTGCAATTTACCGAGAACATTTGTGTCGCAAAGCAGCATGTGCGCAATGAATATGGTTCACAAGATTTTGTTTTAAAAAATAACACCGTGAAGGTAATTTTAACATATCAATGGCAGGTGCTTAAAAATTCGAAAATTCTAAAGAAAAAGATATTTGACCTGAATGTATGTGTGCATGTAGCTAATTACGTACGTTCAAAAAGTTGATTATGAGAAATCGCAAAAATTCAAACACTTAATAATCGTCTTTAGGTCTTTCTCTTCAGATAACCGAAGGTACCTAGAAACAAAGGTACGGGTACTTGAAGCAATGCGAATAATATATGCTCCAAAATGCAAGTAAAAATATTCACGCAAGTATTTCTTCAGCCTTGCAAACATAGCAACATATTTTTGGCCATGTATCCTTGCATTACATATTTACAAGAGAAACAAAAGTTCATTTAATATCCATGTATAATATTACTAAGTAATAAAAAAAGTGTGCTAATTTATTCAAAATTAACTAGGAATTTCACACGCACATCAGGAATATAGATGAGTCAATTGAAACACAGTTAGCTCAGGTGTACATTTCTTACTAACCATCATGGAATAGAAAACAAGTTGTTACACATGCGCGTAAAATAAGAAATAAAGGTTTTATTTTCTTCGACAACAGCAACGATTACCTTCGACGCGAGCGATATCATGAGACGTTCTTATTATCGACGCACGACAATAACATATAAATACTTTTTATTAGACTCTATGTGAAATTTGTAAAAACAAATAGTGATATATCGACAAAATGCGCCATATATTATATGCTGTACTTTAATCATATTTTTTCCTCAAATTATATTTGCCTCTCGCAGGATTTTTTCTGGAACATATTTTCTTTGCTCTTTTTCCGCTCACCTTTCGATGCTTCATATTAACTTTGATACATCGCACATTGTAACAACTTATCTTCATTAGAATATTGAATACACATAAAACTAAATGATTGATTAGATTACTTTTATCTTCAAAGCGTTAGAATGTGCGTGGTAAATGCTAAAAGTGCTTTTGATAACTTCATACTGATTTTGAACCGTACCAGTTTTTATAACAGGATCAGGTTCAGGTTCTGAAAAATCTTTTCTCATGGTCCACATATACTCATTATAATCCTGCTTAACGCTAGTGCTGGACGACGCGACGACTTTGTAACCGAGGACCTCTAAAGCGGTCAATATTACACAAGGATGTTGCAAATATACTATCGTCGAATCGTCGCAATATCCTCCAGAGGAGAAGCGACTCAGCTGTTCTATATCAACCGCTATAACATAATTAATTAATGTTACTTGCGCCCCAATCTTCATTCGCTTACTGCACTTATGATATCTGTATGAAATATCATCTCTACAATTCTCAAAATATATTAATCTATTCTAGATTTCTATTTTCCATTTTAGATCGTAGATAAAAGGATTGTTAAGGCCGTTGTACAATAAAGTAAAATATGCAGTAAGCAATAAACAATCACAGTTGACTATTCTTCGTAAGAAAAATAATCTAGTGTAATCAATTTTCTCACTGTTTAATTTTACGGTTTACGTTTTTGTGCATGCCATGGCTCTTACAGTCCTTAGTCCAAGAATAATCAACTGTGTGTGCTCAATTAGTTTGCTGCTTATATCTAACTGCATATTTTACACCGACTGTTCCAATATTCATTGTTAGTGCTGAAAATCTATATGTAACATGAAGTATAGATTTTCAGCGCTGGTAGTGAATGGGACAGCCACTATTGTAGAACAGCCTTTGGAGAAACATGATCTAAACAACTACTACAAATATTATTTGTGAGGTGCTTAACATAGTGTCTCACTATTACACATAAAAGATGAAAACATGTATATGAGGACAATACAGTTCGTACCTTTAAGCCCTGATACTAGAACTCTCCAAGGATACTTATGACCATATGACGCTAGGTTACCACGTACTAGAATATATGGCATCTGTAATAGTCGGCTAAAACAATCTGTAATAGACGACGTGCTCTATGGATACATGTAACATGTATTTAAACGATAATATATGAATCCTCTATATACTTGTACTTTAATTAGCTGATTATATTTTCCAATATCTGATATGAAAATTATTCTATTAGTGATTTAACTCGGTAACAAAATTAAATGTTATAAACGTTTGAGGGTCCAGAGAGTTCCCAGAGATCATCGAATCACTTGTAAACATTAATCAACTAGTCGCAAAAAAGAAGCAATCACACTTGTTTTGCATTGCACAACATTAGACAAAGAAGAAAATGAAACAGGACCTTGAGATAAAAATACCAATGCTTGAGCACGTGCCTAACAGTGGGCATTTTTGTTTCTCAGTATTTAAATACAAACGTTTAATCTTTAAACTTAAAATATTTGTATATATTCAATACATGTATATATATTTTATGTTGAAAGTTTAAATATTCATATTTAAAGACTAAAACAACAAGAATGTCCAGAGTTAGGCACATGTCCAGGCATTAGTACTTTTACCTTACAATCAAACATACAACATGCATATTTTGTAAAATCTCGTAACATAAGTGGGTAAATAATAAACATACTGTATCCCCCATATAACCTATAACCGTGATACTTCATGAAAAGTATATGCAAACCTTTCCAACTCAATTTCTCCGAACGTCCGGCACAAATCTCTCTCGTAAATTCTAAAACCTATCTAAAAGGTAACATTCCTATTTCACAACGACGATAAAAAAAAACGAGCAAAATAAAACGAGTTTTAGGATGAGTGCGTGCACTGAATATGCATTGATATTTCATGGAAACTCGACAAAAAGGACACCTTGATGATGAGGGAGACTTCGAGACACCGACCAATAATGAACCAAGGACTCACGTTTTTATCTCAACATTTGCGTCATGCAAATCTTTTCAATGTTTGCTATTAAGATATTATCGATTCTTACCTAAATACAATTATACGATTCTCGCCGAAAGAATGTAAATAAAAGCAGCCACGTATATGATTTCGAGGAGTCGCCGCGGTTCACTACGCTCTCTCAATACGTTCTTCTATCTGAATGACTTCGTCGCTTCTGCCGTCTTGGAATTCGGATTCTTGATGAAATTGTGTTCACGCAGCTACAGGAGAATCTCGAAAAATACGCAATACACTTGTAGTGTCGAAAGATACGTGAGATAATTTACGCGCGTGCGCATTAACGGAAGCGCAAACAATCCTCAATATTGTGTATATATCACCACAATAAAGGTATTACTACGCCCTTCACGGTAAATGGAATAGAAAATTACACAGAAGTCTGTATAAATTTTGTTCTGCATGAATATATTAATAGCGCGTACTTAATATAGCATTTTATAAATCAATCATACAAAAGACTAACAAAAAGAAATATAAAATTCACACGAGACCCAAGAAGCACCCCAACTTTGTACGCATTCACAAGCCTGCCGGAGCTGTTCACGTGATCGAAGGCGTCGTTCGCGCATGCACACAAAAGGTGAAATCACCCACGCTGATTCACGTTTCGTCATACTCGTGTAAAGCCTTATCCAAAAAGAATCTACATGACTGCATGAAATGATGCGCACAAAGGTATCGTCGACCAATCACGAACACGGTGCGTTCTTTCGTCGCTGGTAACCTAGTGACAAATGGTAAATTCCTAGCGAGTGGTCCGTTCTTTTTAGCTGAACTGGCTGCGCTAGTTGAAGAAATTTACACACACCGAAACATGAGAATCTCGTACGTACGCTTCATACGTTTCAAAATATATGTGAATTTATCGAACCAGTGCAACCAGTTACGCTAAAAAGAACAGACCACGGTGAGCAAACGCCTCGTATGCCTGCACAAAACGTGCGCTGAGAGAAATCACTGAGGAATCACACACGGGCCTGAGAAATCGTTCGTTATCGTACATCAGGCAGAGTTAATTACAATTTCTTCATCCGGACGCACCGGATTCGATCAAGCCGCACTTCAGGCGGTTGACGACGAGCAGCGCCTAACGAGCGAAGTTAGCTCCTCTTGGGCTTAGCGTTAGCGAGCGAAGTTAGCGACAGTGCGCGCGACCGAGACGCACGTATAGGCGGACGAACGGAGAGGCAGCAGTTACGGGGCCAGCAGGTGACAGGTGGTTTGACGTTTTACCAGCCGCCATCGTCGTTAGCTACTGCGGCCTGCCATATTGCGCGTGATACATACGAGGGGGAAAGGTTGCCGAAAGCGAGCCGACACCGCCGAAGCGACCCGCCGCCGCGCGACTCGATGGCAGAGTGAAACTCGTCCCGTAGAGCAACCTCGCCGCCGCAAAGCGCACGGCCATTCTTCAATTCCTAGCGGTATAGCAGCTTTCCTTCACCACCGATCCACGAGCGTTGTGAGTATATACCGTCGTCGCATTGTTGACATCGGAGACTCCTCTCGTTATCGTACATTTCAACGATTCGATGGCGGACTTCCGTGTCTTTTTCTTTCCGTCTCTCTCTCTCTCCCTTTTTTTCTCTCCCTCCCTCTTGCTCCTTGCTTACTGACTGAATTTTTCTTCCGTCCTCTCTCTCACCTCCAATGCACAATTTCCTCCGTCGCATACATCGCGGAAACTGCGCTAATTGGACGTAACGTAATTATGGGAGTGGGCAGTGTGGGCTCTATTGTGTTGAAAGTTGACTGCTTTCATTCGGCGGTAATTCTATCGCGATACACATGTTTCTCGTCCCGTCCTGTGTCAGATTAGCGTAATCTGTCTCAGGTTCGCTGGAAAACGATATCTTAGTAACGCTACGTCCGAAAGTCCGTTCTACGAGGAAGATCCTTTCCGAAGTTTTCCTCATGAATTATTCATAAATTTGCGAACGTTGTTTTTTTGCCGCGAAAGTAACCGATTGTTAGTCATTGAGCATTGCTTTTCGCGAAACTAGGAGAGTTGATCTTACAGTTTTCACCGTACAATTGTGTACAATCGTTCAAAGAGCTCTTGGTACCTTTTAGACTCATTTTCTACTTTTTATGTAATATGTCAATAAATCTATTGTCAATTTTAATTTGTAGAAGTGTAAAAGTCGATTAGAGGCTGCCTATTTTCTGCATTAATAATAATTATCACTATCGCACATAATGTAATTTGTGCTATCTCTATTTCTCTAAAATGTTAAAGATGTACATTTGGATTTATAATCAATTAAAATTGTCAAAATTAATTAAAAATTATATTTTTATCTTTGATTAGACTTAACATATTTACATATTAATATTAAGAATTCTATGTCGATCATTGACATTGCTTTGAGATATTATCTGTCGTGATAGCACATTTTTGAGTCATGCATGTTCCTTGTATTAAATAAGACAAAGAATGAGACACGTTCTACTGAATGTAATTAACCTAATCAGTCTCAGATATCACAAGTCAAATAATGAAGTTATGAAAGTGATATATAAGATGTTTTCAACATAGATTATAGATTTCATGATAATTCTGTCAAATTATGGATAATGAATAACTATAGTAAGTGTAGTTTCGTTTGAAAATTTTGATTATAGGTGCAATATGTCGACTGGTCCGTATAATTACTCCTATATCTTCAAATATATCATCATAGGAGATATGGGTGTGGGCAAGTCCTGTCTGCTTCATCAATTTACAGAAAAGAAATGTGAGTAATAAATAATATATAATGATAAATACAAATACACATCTACATACAACTACCTGAAATTTTGAATGAAATTATTGAAACATTCTGTTTTGTGATATATCATTATTTTTCATGACACATCCTTAAGGAATGTTGTAGTCGTGCAATTACATGACTGTGATTATATCATATAGCTATATATACAGTGCATGACCAGTAACATTCTGAATGGCAGCAGTATATTGACTTATGTTTCGTTATGTTCACTATATTAGATATTATTCTTTTTCAATATATTCTTTCTAAATCATCATAAAGATATATTAAATAACAATTTTTAAATCATCATAAAGATATATTAAATAACACTATATAATGTTGGATATTGGCTTAAACAACTATAGAAAAAGAAGAGTTCTTGCAATATAATGTCTCGTAATTTTAGTTATGGCTGATTGTCCACATACCATCGGTGTTGAATTTGGGACTAGGATCATTGAGGTAGCGGGACAAAAGATAAAGCTGCAAATATGGGACACCGCTGGGCAAGAACGATTTAGAGCAGTTACCAGGTAACGATTGTGACATCTGAGAAATATACAATTAAGGATTCTAAAAATATACTACACTATAAAGATATTTCCCGTTAGATCATATTATCGGGGTGCGGCTGGAGCGTTAATGGTGTACGATATTACACGCCGTTCAACCTACAATCATCTCAGTAGCTGGCTAACAGACACAAGGAATTTGACAAATCCCAGCACTGTACGCATAAAACTATATTACATGCAATAATGAAATTGTTAACAAAAAATTGTCTCTCCAATTGGTCCGTAATATTGCGTTTGTATTACATAAAGAAAACAGAGCTGTCTCTTGTGTCAAATGCTTAAAAAATAAATTATCCTCCTGTTGCAGGTTATATTCTTAATTGGTAACAAGAGCGATCTCGAGGGTCAACGTGATGTTACCTACGAGGAAGCAAAACAATTCGCCGATGAACACGGCTTAATGTTCGTCGAAGCTAGTGCAAAGACGTGAGTAAAATTTTTCTCTATAATCTCTGACACGCAATATAAGTCCTCGTGTAAAATTGCAAATGAAACCGTGCTATCTGCTTTTCCAAAACAGAGGGCATAATGTGGAAGAAGCTTTCCTGGAAACTGCGAAAAAAATATTCCAGAGCATACAAGACGGCCGGTGAGTTTAACGATCAATTAAAATTACATAATACGAACAACATATTGATACAATTGCATCTGGTGATGTGAATTCATGATATAACAATAAAACCGCAAGAAAACGCGGCTTAACGAAGTAGTTAAATCCAGCCTTTCTCTCCACACAATTGTCGGTTTCAAATGTCAGAATTATTTTATTGGTTGATTGTCTCTTTTATAGATTGGACCTGAACGCAGCAGAATCCGGTGTTCAACATAATCCCAGTCAACCGGGTCGCACCAGTCTCCAAGGAGTGTCTAATGAACAGCAGGGAGGGAAGGATTCCTGCTCTTGTTAGGTCATTATTTGTTTGTATATAGATATATTAATTGATCGGTACTATTAATGCATATATGATTTATACTAAGTGTAGCAAGCAGATTGTCTCGTAACTTGTATCCTCCCTTTGATAAGTGAAGTCTACTTGAGAGAAACGGAATACGTTCACAATGATTTTTCTTTTTAATTGATTAGCATCGTTTTACAGTAATACGATGTTATAAATACACGACACACAATGTAGAGACGTATACCGTTGTCAAGATAATTCCAATAACTTCTCGATTTTTGACGCAGCAAACATAATAAAACTGATGAAACGGCTTTTTTTTTATGATTATTGCAACTTGCATAATATTTTGTAAACTTTATGCATTTTGTTATGAAGCCAAACAAGGATAGATAACCCGTTTAGCGCCGTGCATGTGTAACAGTATGTGTGTAGGAACCGACCGCGAGCTTCGTTCGAGGCTGGATATACTTTCCACAGAAATTGCTTAAAAACAGCGAATATGAGCGATGAGAGATTTAAATTCAGCTAATTTGTATTTTCATGTGGGAGGATCATATATTTGTTAGTTATGTGATACGCAAGTTTTTGCTTTCGGAAACTTGATGAAAATTTTATTAGACGTGCAACGGATATTAGTCGCTTTCTTTGAACTTTCTTTACCGAAAGCAAAATGTGATGCGGGCTGACTTTAGTTATTTGCGAGACCGACTATAGATGGAGAGAGAGAGAGAGAGAGAGAGAGAAGTAGGGATCAAGTTTTCTTTTTTTTTTCTTCATATTCGAAAGATATATCTATATTCTTGATGAAATCTAAATATATATACATATATATATACATCAAAATATATTAAATTTGACACGTGTTTTTAGTAAGACACTAAGATGGAGGTATTCGTCTTTCTTCTCATTAGTTTGAGGTTTTGTTTTTACGTAAGCCTAAACTAGCTCGAATAATTTGTACTGTGTTCGAATATTACGTGAGTATAATAATGTAGCTTCGAGTGTATGTTGTCATACGCGTATCAACATTATCTTTTTCTTTATCGCGTTGTTTTTATACGTTATGCAATTTAGCACACCACGCTTCTTAGCTTGAGAGTAAATCGCAGAATATTCGTAAATTCTCATTTCGCGGGGTGTACCACCTGTTACATTGCGACCTCGCACGGGCGTTCAACCTGATCGAAACGTCGGTATACTAATTGGCGCGTTTCTCGCGAAGTTACATAAGCTCTGTCTTGTTCCGAATTGTAGTACAAAGGCAATGTACGAGCCACACGGAGAAAAAAAAGGCAGAAGTCGAAATCTCGAAGACACGCGTGATGATTTGACGTTTTCGTCGTCGATATGATGTGACTTGTGAACGATTTGCGCGGATAGAGAAAAACATGCCCAAAAAAGAACCACCCCGGAAATAAACTCGACCAAAATTTTAACGAATCTGTTCGGACTGTGTCGATCTGTTCGAAGCTGTGAGCAACTTGTTCGGACGGTTGTTTTAGCATATCCTGTGTTAATTGTACACTGTATATTCTCGGAATATTTTCAGAGAGACGCAATGTGAAATAAATGTAGGATAATGTTCTTCTTGTCGTGTAATCGCAGTAGCACTTGATCTTTTGGCGCAACGGAAGTTTACCTCTCGTCACGTATCTTTGTTATATTTTTTGTATCTTGTACATACAACGAGTATGAGAGAATGCCAGGGAATAAATATACTTCTACATGGTGCTTCAGCGAAAAGAGAATGCCATTCTTATTTTGTCGGCAGGTTTTCTCCTCGCTGTGTGCGAATGGTCGATTCGTTAAATAAATAATGCACACGCGCGAAGCTTTCCTTTTCACGTACAGTATTATCATTTATAGAAATCTCAGTTCTCGCGGTAGTTTTTTCGCGCTGGATTGACGCGTGGAGTCGAGTGTTAATAATATCGGAGACCTTGCTCCGATAATTAATAGACAAGAGAATCAAACTTTCTAGATTCGTGAAGCGATAACATTTTGTTTTATTACAGTTGTTAACAGCTTTTGTACTTATTAATCCGCAGCTTTTTTTATTTCACGGGCCAGTGAAAATCACCGGTGATGTTTGAAGCTGTGAAGACAAGTATGATAGTTTCATTGTGGTGAGGTTCGTGTGGTTGGAATTGTTACACCTCCGTTTGTGTAAGCGACACTGTGACTTGTGCAGCACAATTTACTTGTATACTGTAAGCATTGCAAGAAATAAAAAAAAAAACTTGTATAATAATAAAGAGCTAACAATGCTAGTTGTAAATTTCTATCTATAGGATGGAGTGGCGCTATTATTGAAACGTGAAATTTTTCTCATCCAGTTTAGTTTATAAAATAACTCTTTCGTTCTTCTACGGGAGCTTGAAATATAAATTCCTTAGTCTAATTCTGTGAGCAACTTGAGTTCAGGAAATGCTGCGGAATACTAACGTCATATAAAGGTGATGACCCGTGACATCGTTAAGGGTACGTGGCGCGAAGATAACAAGAGAAAAATGTATAACATCCACATACAATACACACACGCATGTCTTGAAAACATCTTCAAGATGTCTTATTTCAAATAGACGCTTTAATGGTTGATAGCGGAGAGGCGATTTGTACGACCGTAACACAATTATCCCAGTAAAACGCCAACTAGCAACCTAAACATCACAAAATTAAGCCGTCTTAGAGACATTACACATCAGAAATGAATTCTGTGCGCGGACGAATGTCGGGAGTGTCCAATTAAGTGACAGGAGATCGTTTGAGCGTATCAATTGTTCCGTACGAGAGAAATCGAACGTCCAGTTTCTCGATACTTGTCGAAAATACTAAAATACAAAGCATTTCATCACATGAATTAATAGACTATATACAAATTATTATAATCCAAATGAGTCTTTATATTAAAAAAAGAAACATTTCGTATTTTTTCGACGTTATGTAACGCCTTGATACGCTAAATAACATGACCTTATAAATGCTGTAGCATGCCAAAGGCACATTTAGATGCTGATCGACGCGGCGTGTGAACGGAAATGTCAGTATCTATTCTCCGCAATCTCGCGGAATGACACGGCTCGACTTATCTCGGCGAACTTCATATTTGCGCGTCCGTTTATGAAATAACGTTTTAAAGCATGAATTTACAAACGATCGCCGTGCTCGTCGTCGTGACGTGTGTGTTATGCTACTTAGCACGAGGGTGAGGAGGCGTAATCGTCATCGTCGTTGCACACGATGCTGCAGAGCCCCGTTTCGGGATTGCGTCGGGGCCATCGAAAATGAGAAAGAGAATTCGCGTGATCATGGATCTCTGGAAGGGCCTCTTTTTACATCGCAAGTGATTGAGAAAGAACGGTCTCTCGCCGATTAACCTCCACGGCGGAAAACAGATAATAAATTCTATTCATTCGCCGTTTTCTCTCGAATTCTTTCTTCTGATTTGTATTCCTATTCTTAACTTTGAATTCGAATATTTCGACTGGTCCTTGCACCTACATCTTCTTGATAAATCGCGAGTCACGGTTTTCAACTGTATTTGTGGCATAAATTTGCGTCTCACTTCCATCGTGTAAATTGAATTAGGGATAAGATGATGCTGTTCGACTTCACGAGTGCGCAAAACGTAGACGACTGGAGGGAGATGTCCGACACCGTGAGAACCGTGGGCAAGTCCAAGGCCGTCTTAACTCTGCAGACTAGCCAACTTTTCCAGAGAGCCGTCTTCTTTACGCTGCTGAATCCGCAGGCGAATGGGGCCGGTTTCGCTGGCGTCAGAACGCCGACGAATCTCGACTTGTCACGATTCAAAGATATCGAGATCACCTGCCGAGGACAGGGGCAAAACAGCAACTACAAGATATCTCTCAGGCACAAAGGGCAGGATTCCAATGCGGATCTCAGCTACGAGCAATTCTTCACAGTAAAGCTTCGAGATGTCCCCTCTTTCTCTCTCTCTTTCTTTCGTCGCGCGTTTCCTACTGAACGATTATATCGGGTTTATACAAAAATTCGTCTCGTTTTTTGAGGATGTATTGCCCAGTTAAGTTGAAATAATAAAAAAATCATGAAAACATTACAAATTGATCTAGAACTGCATTTAAAAATAACATCGAAAATTTGACAGTAATTTAGAGTCTGGATTAAAAGTTATTCTATTTTAAAAGAGGAAAGGTGAAATGGGTTTGATAAGAATTCAATGAAACCCCCCCCCCCCCC